GGTATCAAGTGGGGTGTTTAAAATATCATTTTCAAAGTATCATTCAGATCAATCCAAACCAGGGTATACACTATTTCAGATATTCTAGCACATCATTTAGGGTTTCCAATTGGAATCCGATGGGTATCATCAAAGGTAGAATATCATCCATATTACCATTTTATGGGTGTCAACTCAAGCAACTCAAAACGAAAAATATGTCGGTGCAGTGGCAAGTTTGATCAGAGTGGGAGAAGTGAAGGGCAGTATGTCAAAGTTTTAGTATGAAGAGTTATGTGTGTGTGTATTCAGAAAAATGAATTGTGTGCGGAGTGATCAGTAAAAAGCACCCAGCCGAGTGCCAAGTGAAATCAGGATCAACTGTAGAAAAGTGTTTCAACAAACGTGGTGTGGGCAACGATATCGAGAAAAGAGAGAAATCAAAACCATTTTGAAACAAGTCAAGTTTGTAGAGGGTTTGTAGAGCCAGTCAAACGAGAAGCAAATAAGCGAGTGATCAGGAACTAGTGCAAAATGGGAATGTGTGAGAGGCGGTGCCATCTGCCTAAAGTAGGCAAACTAACTAGCTAGCTAGCGATGATGAAAGAAAGACGACGAGGTGAGGCAATTGAGCAACAAGAGAAGAGGAGGTTGATCAACATTTTGTGCGATCAGGGGCTAGCAAAGTGCGTTTGAGGAAAAGTAGAGCACAAGGGTCGGTAAACAACAGCAGGACTAGACCAAAAAAGAAGCGTCGACAGGATACTAAACTAGCACGGTGAAGTTGGATCTAGCAATGAGAGAGAGTGTGGAAGAATTGCAACAGCAAATTGCACGAGAGCTTAACCGGCAGAATGATATACAAGTGGAGGTAGAAGTTGTTGATCTGCCACCAACAGTGTGTGAAAAGAATCAATACTGTGTTTTTTAATACAAAACTACAAAAAACGAACAATAGGGTTTAAGGATTGAAAACCAAATACAGCAGAAGAATAGAGCAAAGTGTTGAGGAGAGATATTAGCGGCAAAATATCAGCAAAGGTTCGATCTTAGGGATCAGCAATGCAACAAACCAGAATCGAAAAGCAATCAATAAATAAATAAATTCAGAATAGAATTTGGAACAGAATCAAGACAAAATTCTGGTCGAATGAAAATTGGTGTGTGTGTGTCAAAAATGCAATTGGGAATGTTGTGACTAGAGCAAATTGAAGATGATTCTTTTGTGATTCAATTCTTGTATTTGAGTGTGATTTTGCCACCACCTTGTTATATGAAATGTCTTTTGGTTGCAAGTGATTATAAAAATTTGGGAGTTTTTTAAATTACTAGTAAAAAATGGACTAACATGTGACAATACATGTTATATTAAAATCTTCATATCTTCATGTAAAATTTTATTGTTTAGTTTTTTTCTTTAAATAATTGTTACATTGATTGCAATTAAACACCGTTGTCTATTTGGTTTTTAAGATTATTAAAAATATCACACTCATAATCAATGTGACATTAATGACTATTTTTTTTAAATTGCTAAATTTTAAAAGCATTGTTACTCAATTATATGTGATAAAGTATTATTTTTTAAAAAGTTATTGTTTTCTTTTGTATGACTTAAAATTTATAGAAAATTTAGAAATATTAAAAATTTTAATATTAAGAATTGTGCTTATTCAAATTACATCAATTACTTACAAAATTTATTTATACACTAAAAATCTTTTATACTGTAGTCCTTCTTGCAACACAATCTTTATTATTATTATTATTATTATTTGACTTTAAATTATCTATATATAAGGTAAAGAAAGTAAAAAAAAGTAATTATAATAGGAAAAGACAAGTGAGAATTGGTTAAATGCATGTCTTACAAGAATTAAGATATCAAGTTGAAACTTAGTCCAATATAATAAGAATTGTGAGTTGCGTTGCTTTATTCCAAGTTAGAAGTTTTTTAGCTTGTGTAAGTATTATTTCCTTTAAGTAATTTGTTAGTTGATGGGATTTAATGGTAGAAAAAATTATTAACAACTCGTGTTTCTAAACCTTGAGGTAAAATTAAAAAAAACAAAAAACAAAAAAACAAAAACAAAAACAAATTCCAACTATTAATGTTTCTATTAATTAAACTATAATTAATAGAAACATTAATAATAAAAAAATTGTTACTCTATTAATAGTTGTCTTATTTTTTATTTTGGATTTATTTATTTTAGCACTTGGTTTGGAATTTGTATTCAATATATTTTGAAAACCTGAATTAACAACAAGAATTGGGAGTGCTTAGTGGAATGTAGAGGAGATGAAGAATAAGGATTTAGAGGAACAAGAATTAGGGATGCTCAATAGAAAGGACGGATGAAGAATTAGGGTTTAGAGAATCAAGAATTAGGGCTGCTTGATAGAAAAAAAGTGGAGGGATGAAAAATTAGGGTTTAGAGAAACAAGAATTAGGGGTGCTCGATAGAAAGAAAGTAGAGGGATGAAGAATGAGGTCTAGAGAGGGGGTCGGTTGCGATGAATTCGTCGCGGTTGGTTGGTTCGTTGGTTGGAAGCTCATGGACGCCCAAGCACATCCCGGCAGCGGCGATGATATCAGTCATGGCGGAGTGAAGCGTGTGAGGGAGGATCCTTGGCACTCTCCTTCAGATTCCATGCGGCGAATCCAGCACGCTGAGGCCCTGATATCCCTTCAGATCTCGGCACGGGAGGGATGTTGTCATGTTCGTGAAACATCCGTCGCGTGGCAGCCGAGGATTGCCACATTGTCGCGATGTCGTACAAGCACATCGCGGATCTGACATGCTCTTCGAAATTAGGTGCTGGGATCCATCGATTTGGCTGGGGTTCTCGCTTTGCCTTAGAGCCTTGCCAGTGCCTATACCTGGTCCTGGCCTAGACCTGTCTCGCCTCGTGGGTGGGCGCCCTCTTTTTCCTTTGCAGTGGCGCCGTCGTCTTTCATAACAGCACGGGGGTTGTCATCGCCACCGGCGGATTTCAGCTCGCACCATCAATGCCGTCTGCGATTTCGTCTGGTTCGGCGGCAACAGAATGAATACCGGCGAGGTTGGTAATTGTGCATCATCGCGGCACTTCCATCCATCGACGCCTCTTGTATGAGGCGATTATTGTGTCTGACATCCTTTAACAAAGCCCAAATTAGCTTCTCGGCATGATAAGATCCGGTGCCAGATCACGTTACATTTAGAGGAGACAGACAAGACACAGACCTGTAGTGAGAAACATGTTTTTTCTACAGCATTTTGAATGAATTTGATACTGAGGTATAAGCATTTTGTAAGTTTGTGTGCAGTGGAGTACCAGCATGATATCAGGAGTTGTGTCGATTCGTTGTGACTACGGATATGAAGTATTATATCTAATTGCTAACGGTACTCGCAGCTCTGGTCTTGTTTTGCAAGCTTTACGAATGATAGCACGCTTGAAGAATGCAGATTCTCGGACGCCTCATGAATCTGGCGATTAGAGGATTGATTAAGTACGCCTGCAAAATTAAATCTAGTGTACTAAGTCGCTGATGGTGCAAGTGGAACCCTACCATCACGTAGTTGCAGATTGCAGACACCCCATGAATGAGAGAAGTCGAGAAGATTCGCAGGCATATACTGCTCAAGACCAGGGAGTTCTGACTGAATTATCGGCAATGGACAAGACCTTCGGCGTTGAAAATCCTCCTTTGGAACTTTGTGAAGTATGTGCTATGTCTGTGGACTTTGTTGCACATGTAGAAACAACGCAGACATCTGTCCTCCATGCTTCAGACAGTTAAGCGACACTGTTCTGCAATTGCTAGTCATGCAATTACATGTATGGGAAACCTCAGCTTTTCCATGAAAAGTGATGGTTGTGCCTGTCATTCCCAAGAAAACGTGTAACAAGGTAAAGGAAAAGACAAGAATAACTGTATTTCTTCATCGCGAGGCAGCTATTTTCGTACAACTCAAATCAGAAGCAAAATGCGAAGAACTAACACCGTCGCTACTCAGACGTGAAAATAAGCTTGGATGCCTTCCCAAAGGATCACTGGCGTATGTCCATATATGTTACTTCTGAATCACAAATGCTACAAACCTCAGAGGAGGAAAAGATCCACATGCACATTTAAGAGGATTCTAATTTACCAACTTAGAGGTTGACGAAGAGTTAGAGCTACAAAGTGTCGTGCTAGCTATTTGCGGTCCTCCAGGTCCGCAAGCAAATGTCAAGCCATCTAAACCTTGCGTTTTGCACATGTCTAATTTAGATGGTATTTCTGAGACATAGACGTGCACGCTATTGAGAATACTAATCCCACCATGTTTCAGAATAAGGGCCAACAATCGATCAGGGCCTCCTCATGAAATGAACCATTTTCTCCTTTGATTCATTTAGTTTCTCGTCTTGTGAGAAGAGCCGCCCAACATCAAACCATTACTCTTCGTAACGCTGACTGCTATACTTTGAATACTGAACGGAGCACGAAACGATCCTGCATCGTAAGTAAAGAGGTCTCCATAGTGAAGGAACCAGTTTTAACCCTGTGATAAATCTTCGGCAGTGATTGAGAGGGGACTTTAGTTCTCACACTCTGTAATTCATGTAATCAAAAACCAATGGTACAAATTGGAAGAACACTAAAAGTATTTCTGTACATGAACAGATGCTCTGGCAACTCAATCTTGCAAGAAAAAGTTCTAACGTGTCGTGCCAGATCCCAAGAAAGAGTATTCGGGGCAATCTACAATACTTATGTGTACGATTATCGTGAACTGTGAGTTAATGTTATCACGCCCTAATTCCTATAGAACTTGAGGACCTTGCCGTGCAATCAGTATTAGAAACTATGTACGTTCAAACAAAGAAAATGCAGAAGCCAAACCAAAATCCAAACACATTCAATTCTCCTTCGCCTTGGGGAAATGCACACCAGCAACTCACTCATATTAATTCATCATCCTTATTGCAAAAATGACACGAAACAAAGTCTACTGAATGTTAGAGTGGTTTTTTTCTTCTTCTTCTTTTTTTTTTTTTTTTTTTTTTCTTCTTTTTTTTTACTTTGTATATCCGAGTTAAGCCATTCGACGATGTATACAGATAGTCAGAAGCCGAACAATCACTCCACCTCCCATCAGTGATTTCCAGATTCTGCAAAATAATTGACTGCCTCGGAGGACCTGACTGACTCCTCCCCATTCTTATCCTACTCCTAAATGTATTTTCTTTCCTTGCCTTCTAACGGCATGTTCTATCTAACCCACGCAGACACGACAAATAAAAATTCGCAATAACAGCTCCATTCCATCCCAAGACCATGGCCATGTCTTCATCCTTGTCCAGTTCTGTGCCAAAATGTCATTATACGTCGTAAGGTTGTACAGTATTTTTTTCTTTTTTTAGGTTGTCAGTGGTAACAAGCTCCAACTGGGTCAGTAATAGTAGTCCTGGTTCTGCTTCATGTAGTCTGGGTTTGCAATGGCCTCGGGGTATGGTGGGTCTCGGTAGTCTCGTCTGTCGACATAGCTGGGAGGGTAGTTCTGGTTCGGCTGGTACCCACCATACAAGCTTTGATGCGCAAAGTCGGGCTGGTAGTCGTTGTATCGGTAAATGGTTTCCGGCTCAAGTCGGTAGCCGCGGCGGATGTGTCTGTACTCAGGTTGGAAGTTGTCGTGATCGGGTCTATAATCATGATGCCTGTGTTCATATCCAGGAATGCCATAGCTGCTGCCCGGGTGGCGGTTGTACGAGCGGCTGTCATAAGTGCTAGACTGGTTGAGGCTCGAGTTGTAGCGAGCGCTGCTCACTTCGGTGGGCAGATGAGCGTAAGCGTGGCCAGGGTTGTAATCGGGGAGGAAGCTACGGTTGTGCTTGTCACGTTGATGGTACGTGCGGTGCTTACGGTGTTTGTCCGGTTTGCCGTGGTGGAGCGTGAAGGAATCGGATGACACGATCTCGGCCCTTTTGTCAATTTTCCTCGCTTTCTTCAGCACATCGTGCGAATCTGCGTAGCCATAAACAGCAACCTCGGACCGTCCTTGGTCTGTGAAAATGTCCTCCACTCCTGCGCCAACCAATTGGCACCACTTTGTAAACTTATCCATGTCTTAAAATGGTCGCAGCGGAGCGGGGTGTATATGTCACGGAACAGGCAAGTGCATCATAACTAGTATGGCGCCAATTGCGCTTACCATAGACTTCATTGATTTCCTCTCGAACCTTTTCTTCGCACTTGTGACAGCACATGAGCACTCTCAATTCGGTCCTCTGCAAGATCACCAACCCGCCATTTTAGAACAAGTTCGGAAATTCAAAACAGGATTGAAGAAGTTTTGAAGATTGAATCGTTCCCTTCGTTTCGAACAGAGCACACATCATTTCACAGCAAGTATCTGTACATCAATCCCAAAGCATGAGCCTGAATTTTTCGTTCATTGAGACGCTCGTAATTTCTTATAAATGAAAAAAAGAAAATAAAAGCACAAGAGTCGGAAGTTTACCGGCGAATTACCACCATAGCCATATGCAGGCGGCCGCTGGTGGAGCCATTCCGGCTCACCGCGACTGTAAAAGACCTGTGCATTCTCACTTTCAAACTTAGAAAACCCTCGGTAAATTTGTAGATCATGTCATGTCACGCACACTCTGAACATGACACAGTTCTCAAGCACGCATTCCGAAGCAAAACTCTAGAATCCTTTTCGAGTCTCCAAAGAGAAAACTTCCACAGCTCACGCTAATCACAACATGGGCATAATGCAATATAGTTTCAGAGATCTCCTACCTCATTAAGACTCATCGCTGCAAGTCTCGCTTGAAAGGTCTAATAATCCCGAGGTAAAGCCTCCGACCTCCCTTGATCAGTCCGCAGGCCAAACACACACCCAAATAAACTTGTAAACAGAACAGTCCCCTAGTAGTGGGCTTTTTCGTGAAGTTTATGACCCAACGACGACGACGACGACGACGAAGACGACGACGCTGAGAATGTCTTCCCGAACCACGAATGTGACGTTGGGAACGAACTCTGGACTGGACTACCCAGCGTGTGGAAGCCACTGCATCTCAGTGCTGGGGTGTTGCTGGAGAGGGATGTAGGACGAGGGTGACAGAGAACTTGAAGACCAGGAACTGTGCTGCGACGATGAGTGGTTGGAGAGCCCGAGGCTCTTTATAGGATTCGCCTTGTGCGTAGTTCTTCCCCAGGGTGGCCCGGCGCGCTACGCTGGGACTGGCTACGTTTGCCAGTCTCTCAGTGCGTGACTTGGATGCGTGAGCTCTTCCGTGGCCGTGGAGCTGAGAACCTGCCAGGGACATGGGCGCGTCAATCTCCCTCCTTTGGGAGACATTCTTCGCCCACTTTCCCGTGTTTTGTATTCCTCCTTGCGTCACTCCTTCAAGCTAAAAAAAACTCACTCGAGACTTTTCTTCTGATGGGATGTGGGGCCATCTAGCTATCCACACTGGTATCCCAAAAGCGTCGGATGCTGAATTAGGCCACTGTTTCTCAATATCCAGAGTGGGCATTGTCGGATTCTCGGCATCATGCGAGGAGTGATGTTTTGGGATTGACTCTCCATTTGCGTCACTGGGCATATTTTTGCCTTTCCATCGCCTCCTACGCAGAAGTTACATTCCCAAGTAAACCCACATAACCTTCATGTGTTCTTCAATCTCGGACGACAATATATATATATATATATATATATTGAGTTGCCAGGTTGTTGTCTTTCGAACCTGTCGAAGCAGTGGTAATAATACCCATCAAATGGCGAATTTTATAGCATTTTGCACACTGCTGTTAAACAAGTCAGGTTCAGTTTCATCCGTGTCTGCGAAGTGAAAATATATATTCTGCTACTGTCTGTAGAAACGTACCGTTTTTTGGAGGTGTGACTCGGTCTTGGAGAATGAAGCTAGCGGTGTTTTAAAATGGTTGAGAGGAACGTTATGAAACGACCCACACAAGGGCTTCCTTCCTTTCGTCCTTTATTTTTCTTTTCTTTTCTTTTCACCTTCATCGACGAACTCTTACTAGAAATTTTGCTTCGGATATTATAACTCTTCATTGCAGTAACAATTATATGCCTCCATGTACTGTGGTTTGATTTTCACAAGAGGCCGCACCAACGCCCAGTTACAGTATCAGTACGCTATTTGGAATCGCCTCAGAAAACTACGAAGTAGTTTTATAACCATTATCAGTATGCTCTGTCTCTTTTGGAATGAGTTTGCGTGCCTGAGTCGATTTTGGATGCAGAAGAAGCTCAGGCTGTACTTGAACCGGGCATGGGTACCATGTGTCAGAAACATTCATATGAGGATAGAAACCACAAAAAAACAAGTAAAACTGTGACACGCAGTACACTGAGACACAATCAAAACATGGGCTGATTTCAAGTCAACCATCATCAAAATCCCAAGCTCTTTTTTTCTTTTTACTTTATAAATTTCAGAGGCGATAGAGGCAACACTAAAAACACAGGAAGCTGAAAATGCACTGCAAAATTTCAGCCATAATGTTAATAAGCTCTGACATACTTCGGAGTCATGGCAAAATAAAGGGAGCTCGGGATTGTGTGGGAACTCAGAGTTGCTATATCCACTTTGACGTGTGCTAACTGATGGACAATGTGGGGCAGCAGCAAATGGTGCCTTCCATAGCCTTAGCTTTTCACAGTAGTCACCGTATGGAAGAGAGCGAGAGACCGAGAGAGGAAGTAGATTTCTTTCTTTCTTTCGTTCGTTTCTCATCTCAGTTGGTGAAGAAGAAGGAGAAGAAGTTGGGGAGGCAGGCAGGCATGCAGTTGCTGTGTTTGTGTGGCGATGAGCTGAGATGCGTGTGCTGGCTGGCCCTTCATATCCTCCCTCGTCTTTCACCCAATGCGAAAGGGGCATCAGGGTTATCAAGGGCACCCGAGCTTTCTCGCTTTAGGGCGACAAGGATCATCAGAGGGGTTGCAAAAAGCAGGGTGCGATGACAGTGAAGAAGACAAATGGTGATCCTGTGTGTGTGTGTGTGTGTGTGTGTGTGTGTTGGCAACGGGGATTTGTCCCTCTGGGTCTCATTAAGTTCCAAGTCCATGCCACCATTGCTACAGTCACAACAGGATCACCATGGCAGGGCAGGGCATGGCGCTCACACACACACAGTAACACACTATCATAAACACACACACACACACACTAACACAAACACACACAACAGCAGCAACAACAGCAACAGTAGCAATAGCAACAACAGTCTCCTTCCTTTCCTTTTGTTTCGTCTTCTTCTTCAATGCTTCAAAACTTTACTGCTCCTGCTCTATTCCATTTCCTTTCTCCCTCTCTCTGGTTGAAGGCACATGGTAACATGTTGGTTGGTTCACTCTAATTTTGATGAGCTTTAATGAAATACTAAATAGAAAGGATGAGGAATTTCGTATTTGAATGTAATTTTATATATTTGGAATAATAGAGTTAATCTTTTTGTTGTATTCTTTGGAATTTAGTTATTAAAAAATTTCCGAGGATATAGATTTTGTATTTTATGTTTTGTGTTTTTTGTCTCCCAACATCAAACAGTTAGGCTGTAAAATTTTTGTTTTAATATAAACGAAGAAAAATATTTTTAATTCATAGATAATTGGAATGTTTTACAAGATAGAATGTAATCGTACTAATCAGTTTTATGAAAATGAATTGACTACAGCATGTGTATAAATCTTTACAAAGTAAACACGAAGATTTTGGCATCGTGATTCATACTTACAATGTCACATGCTTATCGGGATCTTAATCAATTCATGTATCTACAGTGCATCTATGTTTTTTTTGATCTTAAATTAAAGAAATAAAAAGTGAATATTTAAAATTAAAAAAAAAAAACAAACCCAGTATTTGTGCAATATTTCGAGTGCTGATTATCAATACAAAGGTAAAAACAGAGTATGATAATTTATTCCAGATATCCAATAAGTGAAACAAGTGGCCATCAAAGTATAGATTTAGAAGCAGTAGAAAAAGAGCTTGTTAGGGATTTTTCTTGTCAAGCCATTACAATTGTTATATATATTTTTTTCTTTTAATTTAATAATACATTGATGCAAACCTTTTACAAAAATATGAATACGTAAATAAATAAATGTATTTATATATCTCACCATACAAATACCATCAAGATTTGTAGAAATGTGTGTGCTACCACAATGAGCAACAAATCAGGCAATAAATCTGAAAAAAGGGAGGAATAATTAATTTTTAGTATTTTAAAAAAAATTCTATGATGAGATATTCTATTGATAGGGTGAAAGAAATGAAATGTATACTAAAAGAATGTAAACAGAAAATTTCCAGAAACTAAAACCACTAAAAGATTTTGTGGATTTCTTCTGTAAGATGTGATAATATGTGTATTTTATTTTCATATTACCTCATAGTATTCATGATGCTAAAATATTATTTAGTATTGTAAAATCTATCCTAATTCATTATACTAACTATAGTTTTAAAATTTGGATACATGCCAAACAAAACATCTTTATGCTTTATAACATGCAAAGACAAAAATCTGTTACGCATGTTACAAATCATGAAGATATTTTCCAAGTAGAAAAAAAAAAAAAAAAAAAAAAAAAAAAAACACTGATTGCTAAAGAATTGAAATAATCTAATGTTGAAAGGCAGCTAATGTACCCTCCTGAGCTGCAACAGAAAAGCAGAGTTTTACAGACAAAATTGCGTCCAGGACCCAGTAAACAGCAACGCAAGTCCCCCAAGAAAAAATTAGGGTTTGCACCAAACCCTAAAAGGAGCTGCTGTGGAAGCAATCAATCCCGCTCCTAATGCATTGTTGCCAGATTGTTGGTTGCAGCGACCAGACAGACACAGAAGCAGCAGGGGCTGTGGTCATGGATGCCCAGACCAGCGGACACAAAGCGGGCCAACCTTTGCCTCGCCCTTGTACCCTTTGTAGTGTTGCAGTAAGTACTCTTGCCTCTTTTTCCAGCAGATATTTGCATGCATGCAGAGGCATCTCCGTCCTATTCTAGATGCCGCGACGGTGAGGATCAAGTCTCATACACACCAGCAGCAGCACCACCACCACCATCACTCACAACCGGTCACGAGAGGTTTCATTACCCAGTATACTTGGATGTCAGTCAATCAGTCAGATGGGAGTGGCGTGGACAACGTGGTACTATTAACTTACTGGGTTTTGCATGCGAGAATAACTCCACGCTATACTGGTTTGCATGAAGGAAGGGTTTGTGTGCCACTGTTTGTTGCAGGGAAAGAAAGAATGGAAGCGGGTGGGGTGGTGGAGGGGGTCTGGCCTTGCGGCCTTTGTGGAACGGGGATTGTCAACAAGGATATTTAGACTTTCCTTTTCCATTTCGTTTTCACCCGGCTTGCAAAGGTTGTGGGTACACACTGGTTGTAGTTGGACTGCATCAACTTGCGATGAGGGTGCACGTTTTCGACCAGGATAGGGTGACCACAAAGTGTGTGAAGTAGGGTGAAAAGAGCCCATCCCCACCACCAAGGTGGTTTTGCTTCTCTCTCTCTTTACACATGTAACTCTTACGGACCACGACTTCGCGGCGGATCACGTCGTCGACGCTGTGGAGCCGACTAGCCATTGAGCAGTTAGTAGTGATCGCATTAGCCATGTGCCAGTGCTAGATTTCGCTGTCATCTATATCTCTGGGAGGATAACCGTGGCTCTACTTAAATCTGGTGGCGAATGGTTCGCTCCAAATGCACATCCAATGTGTAGTATTTTGAGGGTAAGCATGAACCTGATCGTTCTATTCTCTGACGAGAGTTGCTCTGGATCTCGCCTTGAAAGATGTAAGTGATAAACTTTGAATCTGTTTACGTCGGACTGTTGTTCCGGCTGGGCGGCGACCGCCGCGAACTTCTTCGTCCATTTTTACTCAGTGGCTTGTCGGCAGGAGGAATATCGGTAGAATACATTTCGTTCCCAGTATTCAGGATTTCAGACCTTGATCCTGAAGCCTTTGAGATTGCTTTTAAGTTCTGGCCCACTTGGAATTACGTAAAGATGTTGGTTTACTCATGGCTGCCGACGGGCCACCGCCTCTTTTTTCACGCGAAACCTGCAGAATTTCGCGGAATTTAACACGGACCAACGTTATCCACATCAGCATCGGAGGTCGGCAGATCTAATGGGCGC